GCGAGTCTGACGACCGACAGCTGGTTTGGCACAACCAATGCCACCAAATATGAGTGATAGAGATGTCCGTAAACGCAGATATTGTCCACCAATGGATTGGATTTCAATTCGGCCTCAATCTAGACATTGATAAAAACAAAAGTTGTGAAAAAACTATCGATAAATTGCTATCAAAAACCATAAAAACAGATCCAAATAATTTCACTTACTTTTCCTAACGACACGTATTCACCGAATGATAATTTTATTAAATCCTTTTTGCGGTCAATTATTTTGAAATTCCCGTTTGGATACACTTCGCCGATATCTCCCGTACGGAACCATCGCTGACCGTCAGCGTCGGTATAGTAGGCCTCTTCTGTAGCCGACTCTAACTTGTAATAACCGGCAGATATCGAGTCGCTTGAGATGACAATCTCTCCCCGAGGGTTGGGTTTGTCTGTGGCTCTATAGCCTCCCTCTTCCCAGTCTTCTAACACTATTTTAGTGCCCCTCAGGGGTGCGCCCACCTGTCCGTAACTTTGGTCCGACTGATCCATTAGACAACCGGCACCAGAAGTCTCTGTGGAGGCGTAGCCCTGAAGTAACTTTATGTTAAGACACGCTTTGATCACTTTCTGTGTGTCCTGCGATAGAGGGGCGCCGCCGACAAACATCATGTCCAATTTGCCCCCAACTGTGGCCCTGAACTTCCCGCACACAAAACGATTCATAATCGGTGTATCGAAACCTAAGCCAATAAAAATGAGATTTTATTAAGTTATACAATAAATGTTATAAATGTTTATTAAACACAAACCTCTTTGAGTCCAAAATGTTTTGTATTGAACGCCGAAATCAAACAATTGTCGTGCGATTAAACCATTTCTACTGATTTTGTCGACAATGCCTTTGCGGATGCGGTCCAACACGAGAGGCACTCCAGCCATGAGTGTTGGCCTGAGTAGAGTGGCGTCTCCCTTATCGCCCGGCCGTATGGCTGTCCCCACGTCTGTCAGTGTGTTTGGCGTTGAATACCCGACTCTAATGCCGACACTAAACATAATGGTTTCGATGATGAGCTCCAGTATGTGTGCCAGCGGTAGGTATGCTATGTATAGCTGTTGGTCACGAGTGGCCAAAAGGTGATTAAACAGTAGTTTATATGTAACCACAGAATTCAGTAGATTCTTGTGCGTTATGTTCACCCCTTTGGGCACTCCTGTCGAGCCTATTATGTGTTTTTAATTAAATATGATTAAATAAAGTCATTTTAAATTGTGTTAAAAATTTTATAACTTATTTACCGGAAGTGTATAACAAGACTGCGATGTCGTTCTCGTTGGGCATGTCGTACGACAACTCCTCGCCATTGGTCTGACGGCCGGTGCTCTCCAAGTCTGAGAGTGCAATCAAACTGATGTCCTGACCGTCAGATTTTTCAATTGAATGATTACTTTGGTTATTATTGGAGTCGAAAAATATAATCTTGCTCATTTTGGGAATCTGTGGACGCAGTTTAATCAACTTATTCAATAAGTGGTGCGATGTTATAACGTGTGTCACTTCTGTCTCATTCAAGCCGTGGATAATTCCTAACAGAAATAATACGTTTAGTTAATAATAACAGAGAGAGAGAGAGAGAGAGAGAGAGAGAGAGAGAGAGACTAACGAATAGTTAAGTATGAATACCTTCATCATTGAGTGATGAATATATGGTGGCAACAGTGGATCCAATTCTCATAATAGATTGAGCGCATATAAACCAATCCATACACGTGTCCGCAAATATCATCACTTTGTCCTTAGATTTAACGCCATTCACAAGCAATCCTTTCGATATATTGTTCACTTTGTTGTCAAACTGCCCATAATTTAGCCATTTATAGTCACTCAACACATATTTGGTGATTGGCTTTCCGTTCAACTGATGGGTCTCTTCGCCGAGAACCTCGCGATAGGCCACACATTGTTTGTCTTTGCCATTAATCTCAATAGACTTTCTGATGGCCTCATCAATGGTGGAGCACTCGTCGAGGAAATGGTATGAGTGATCACCCAATCGAGTCCAGGGAGACTTCGTGTCTTCGGGATCCACTTGTTTGGCATAAATGGCATCAATCCTTTTCCTGGCGATCCATGGCTTTTGGATGAGGTAATAGACCGGAAGTGTTACGATATCGTACAGGTGTACTAAAAGTCGGATTAGTGTCACAACTGTCACCGATATGTAGTTCCAGTATTTAATCCTTAGATACATATTGTTTTGCCAAAAGGTTTTTTACGATAATTTTTGGCCACAATTTTTTACGTTTGCTGTAAAAGTCATAATAAAATTAATTGAAGTTTTTTGTGTAATAATAAGTTTTCTCTAATGTCGTGAGTGTTTCGATTATATCGTGAATGAAATTATTGTTATTTTGTAATACAGTATAAAAAACATATATTAAATACTTTTTCCCTTCTTTTTGGGAAAATATAGTATAATATATAGCTTTTAGCGTACATTTGAAGATGAAGTAAAAGTGTCCGCACAATATAGAAAGGGTTGACCTTATGTTTGTTGATAACAATAGTTTGTTATTATTATTTTTACAATGAAAATACGTTTAATTTGTACACAATATACGAAAATTTCCCATAAAATACTCATTTATTCATTCACTGGAATATTAAAGCCATAAATTGAAGCCACAATTAATTTTTTCTTCAATTTAGTCAATGTTTATATAAGAAGTTTATTTTCGTGAAGCAATTGATAAGAAAATAAAACTTCAAAACTTTTTTTTTAAATATTTAATTTTGTCGTAAGAATATCAGAAGATATACACAGATATTACATGTGACAATTTGGACATGTCTTATGATATTCAATAAATAGGACTTTAAAATTGCACTCAAAATAATATAAAATTTATTGATTATATAATTTATAAAAACTATTAATAAATGTATGTTTTACTATATTTTTCACTCAAATATCATTACGTGTTTGAATACGATATGACGTGACTTCAATTTTTAAATTTATTATTATAATTCAAATTATGGCAATAATTAAGAAAAAAGTCCATTATTTTAGACAACGATTGTTTTTAGTCTCATGTGTTTTTAACAGAAAAATTTCGTTTTTCTTAAAAACATAACAATTATTAATGAAAAATTATATTCTTATGTGATATTTATGTGACATTGAAGTCGAGCTGTGTTTTGAATTTAAAATTTTTGTTTTGCTTTATTTATTTTATTTTTGTCTTGAAATATAATACTTGTTACGATTGTGGGACACATAAACCACACGAGTGTCTAAATTATTTATTCATTCATAAACCCGTAGATAATTGGGTGAAAATCAACGCTCTATTGATTTGAAACCCTATTCACAGATAATTGTTAGCGAATATGAGAGAGAGGCTTATAAAGTGAGAGTGAAAATGAGTTCACAAATAAAATAAAAAGTTCTGTAGTGTTGTATTTCATTGATTTATGTAATTTTTTCTTAAATGTGATGCCATTTGAATTTATGAGACGTCTCGCCGTTTAGAAACACAATTGATTGGCTAAACGAAAATCAATTACTACTTAAAACATTGACGCCTATTGTATTTTGTGGTATATTATGATTAATCAAAATTTGTTATTCAATCAATTTGTGCCCAATATATCAGTCAGTAATTCAAGACCAGTGATAAAACCGATTATGGGGTCATTTTGATTGTTTTTAAACCACATCATATTTTATTATTTCATATTATTTTCATTAAAAACAAAATAATTTTATAAATTACTAATTAATAATAAGGTGTTTTTGACATTTATAATGTAAACTTATAATTAATAAGTTATTAAAATACAGCTAGTTATTAATTATTATTATTAAATATTGAGAGAGTTTATTATTTTTTGACGTGTTTTTTAAAAGCCATAAGAAATGGGGATTAAAATAGTTTTGAAGTCCAACACTGTTTAGAAAAAATTGAATGAAAGG